CTCCAATTACCGTAAGATGGGAACTAATTTTATTTGTCATTTAAATTGTAAATTGGAGACGCCATAAAGTCCATATTTTTCATCATAGTATAATTCAATGACGATTCAACAAATATTCGGTCCCGTGCTACTTTCTTATATTTATAATTTGTTCTTGTTTTTCACAATTTATTTGATTTGGGATGTACATCTATATCTACGTTCCCAACCAATATTCTCTTGGGGGTTACAAATTCAATAGAATACAAAATTTTCTTTTCTGACCACACATTAGATGTGAAAGTGGACTTGGGATACTCCAATGTGGGGACTTTACATGAATAAATTTCTATGTGGCAATTATCTGTACGATGGTTCCTTACCCCAGGGTAGCATAAATACAATTTTTTAGTGGTCAAGATCAATATGGGCCCTACTCCGAGAATTTTCTACTCCCTTAGAAACAAAGATATTTGGCCAAAAATAGAAGAAAATGACGAAGACTTCAAAAATAGCTTAAATCATACAATGGTTATTTATAATCGATATCATATATCATATTGCAGGTCATGCAAAAGCGATTTAAGGTATCTTAAATGTTCGGGAAGAATTTTTGGAAGGATAGAAATCCTTTTCTTACTAAAAGTCCCATTCGCTCTACTATTTTGCACCCTTTATATTTGGTACTTTACTGATTGTAGTCCCAAAAATTTTTGCATTTTGAGCTCTCATTGGACGGATTATTGTCACATGAAAGAAGTAGGTCCACGCTTTGAAATGAGCCCCATTAGTCTTTTTCGGTCATTTTTGTTTGTTTAAATGTCTGCGCATCTTCCAGCTGAAGCACGATGTAGGCCCTGGAGTTAAAAGGTAGATGTTAGTTACAATCGTATTTCGCACTTATTTCATTTTTTGGTGAAAAATTGTATATAGTGAAAAATTATTCTTTATTTCGTTCACAAAAAAATCCACTGAATTCAATATGATAATACAAATTGAAAAAAAAAATGACAAAAGAATAATAACAAATTGAAAAAATCTTCAACTTGTTCGCTGATTTTTTACAGCAACTGTTTAAAGATCCTTACAAAGTTTGTCAATAGAATGTACTTTTATTTTAAAATTCAATTCCATTGGACATTTTTTTCGATATTTCCCCGTTTTGAGAATTTTTGTAATGAGATCTCTTTTTTCGTAATTTTTTTTAGCGATTTTAAAAAGGTTATTATCTTCTAACTTTGGTGTGACCGCGTTAAATTATTTCGATATCATCTATTCCGTTTCGCCACCACATAATTCGGTACTACACTTCCATGTAACCCGTCATCAATTTCAGTTCTCAAGAAATCAAGTCAATTAAATAAATTGATATTATGATATTCGAATTCAAAAATAAAATATAAAAAACACTACAAATGTACATTAGAAAAAAGTAAGTCAAAATGGGAAAAAATCATGCAAAATAAAACATTACTATTGTACATTTCAAAAGTCAAAATGAAAATGTTAATATATCACATTTTTACGTGATTTTTTTTGTATATTATCCTTTTCGGATAGAAGACAATTCCGAATTTGTATGAATCATTAAAATCAGTTCAGCGGTTCTTAAGTTATAAGCGTAATAACTAACACAACTTTCATTTATATATATAGATGTATAGATAGATTAAAAAGTATGCGTGGTCAGTTCCTCAGCCCCCAAACAAATACTTAAGGTTGGAGGGAAGGTCAACAGTATCTCGTGCAATAATTTTTAAACCAATATCTTGTTTATTTGGGAAATATAAGGATTTTAGATAAATCGAAATAGTGGGCGTAAAAGGAGGCGTGGTCAATATTTTTTTTGCTTTAAAACCCTAACTCGGGGTATGACAAACGTTTGTACAAAAAATTATGCAAATCGGTCCAGCCGTTTTCAACTGATTCCGTTACCAACAAACAACAATTGATTTTTATATATATAGATAATGAAAATGAAATGTTTCTACTGAGAACTTTGCTACTACTCAGTACTATTATCTCTAAGTGAAATTTTCTAACCTCCCCTGAGTATAGTACAATGTAAATAAAGGGTGAGACGAAAAAAACTGCAACCGATTTCAGACTGCTGTCACTGCTAAGTCAATCGTCCGTCAGCTGTTAAAATTATTCCAGTGACAGCTCATTATACTGTTTACAAGCGTGCAAAAGCTTTCGGTGAAAATTGTCCAGAAAAAAAAGTTATTCGTGATGGTATTCAAGCGTGATAATGTGATTTCTTTATATTTGGCTGGAAAACCACAAGTTGGCTATCGTTAGAGCACTCCAGCATTTAAATGTGGAAAAATCTTTTGTGTCTCGTACCATCGCTCGTTACCGTGATACTGGTAGCGTAGCCCGACGTCAAGGAAGTGGACGGAAGAAAACAGCAACATCAGCAGAAATGGTTCGAAAAGTAAAGAAGCGACTTGATCGAAACCCGCGTCGCAGTGGCAAAAAAATGGCTCCTGAGCTGAACATATCGCAATATTCCATTCGGCAAATATTGACAAATAAGCTCGGGGTAAAGCCATTGAAATTCCAAAAAGTACAATAACTTACTCCGCAGCTTAAAGAAAATAGGCTCAAAAGAGCTAAAGAGTTGCTTCGCTTGGCCGAAAGTGGTGGTGCAAAACTGCCGAATTTGGTTTTCTCCGATGAGAAAACATTCGTTGTCCAGCAGTTTGTAAACAAACAAAATGATCATGTTTACTTGCCAAAGAGGTCAGCTGAAAATGTGCACCTTCGGTTGGCCACCAGAACTCAAGCGCAGGTCATGGTGATGGTGTGGGCCGCCGTGGGCCGTGGCATCAGAATAAATGCTGAATATTATCGCTAAAATATTCTAGAGGGTGTATTAAAGCCTTGGGCAGGTAAACATTTTGGCCGCAGACCTTGGATATTCCAACAGGACTCAGCACCATCGCACACAGCACGCGCCACCCAAGAATGGTTACCAAATGAGGTTCCTCGCTTCATTTCTAGCGCACAATGGCCACCAAAATCTCCGAATACCAATCCGTTGGACTATTGTTTATTGATGCTATTAAGAAAAACGAGTAAAAAAGCAGTAAGTTCGGCCGGGCCGAACTTTGAATACCCTCCACCATTTGGACCGAATTAAAAAATTTTCAAAAAAATAAAATCAAAAAATAAAATGTTGGGAAAAATGCAATAAAACAAATCTTTTATTTGCAAAACTTACAGAGGTCAGTAAGCTAAAAAAATCAAATATAATAAAATCCATTAAATTTTATTTTAAATCATTACAATATCTAATATAGGAAGGTGGACCCATTAAGACAAATTTATGTCTGGGTGTAAAGTACTCACAAGGAACTCCTTGTGTGGATTTTCAGATAATTCCATTGGAAAAAGTGGCTAAAATCATCAAACTACTGAATATCGGGGGGTATCGTTATATGGGGGATATACGATATCATTAACCTATATAAAGAATTCTCTGTCGGGGGGTAAAGTGCTCACAAAAAACCCCTTGTGTACAATTTCCGTTGAAAAATGTGGCTAAAATCATCAAAATACCGAATATCGAATGTACCGTTATATGGGGGCTATACGATATCGTAGACCTATATAGATAATTCTCTGCCGAGGTATAAAGTACCCACAAGGAACTCCTTGTGTGGATTTTCAGCCAATTCCGTTGAAAAATATGGGTAAAATCATCAAAATACCGTATATCGGGGGTACAGTTATATGGGGGATATACGATATCGTGGACCTTAATAGATAATTCTGTGCTGAGGTATAAAGTGACCACATGGAACTCCTTGTGTGCATTTTCAGACAATTCCGTTGAAAAATGTGGGTAAAGTTATCAAAATACCGAATATCGTGGGTACCGTTATATGGGGGATATACGATATCGTGGACCGATATACATAATTCTCTTCCGAGGTATAAAGTACCCATCAGGAACTTCTTGTATGGATTTTCAGACAAATCCGTTGAAAAATGAGGCTAACATCATCAAAACACCGAATATCGGGGAGTACAGTTATATGGGGGATATACGATATCGTGGACCTATATAGACAATTCTTTTCCAGAGGGTAAAATACTCACAAGGGACTCCTTTTGTGGAATTTTAGACACTTCCATTGAAAAGTGTGGCTAAAATCGTCAAAATACCGAATACCGGGGGGTACCGTTATATGGGGGCTATACGATATCGTGGACCTATATAGATAATTCTCTGCCGAGGTATAAAGAACCCACAAGGAACTCCTTGTGTGGATTTTCAGACAATTCCTTTGAAAAATGTGGGTAAAGTTATCAAAATACCGAATATCGGGGGTACCGTTATATGGGGGATATACGATATCGTGGACCTATATAGACAATTCTCTCTCAGGGGGTAAAGTATTCACAAGGAACTACTTGTGTGAATTTTCAGACAATTCCATTGAAAAATGTGGCTAACATCTTCAAAATACCGAATATTGGAGGGTACCGTTATATGGGGGCTTTATCGTGGACCGATATAGCCCATCTTCAAACTTGACCTGCCTGCAGACAAAAGAGAGATCTGTGCAAAATTTTAGCTTCCTATCTTAATTCGTTTAGACTGTAGCGTGATTACAACAGACGGACGGACAGAGCTAAATCGTCTTAGAATTTTACGCTGATCAAGAATATATATACGAATATATGACGAACTTAATATACCCTCCATACTACGTATGGTGGAGGGTATAAAAAAATGAAAATGTAAAAATTATGGCGTTTGACTTTGTTACAGTTTTTTTATCTGCTCTGTTCCAACACCTACAAGAATCTACTAGCTTCCAATTTTTCCCGATATCATAAAAGGAAAATCGGTTATCGTAGTACAAATTGTTACACTCTTGCAGACCAATTCTTGCTACAGATCAATAATGTTATAACAATTTTACAAACATAAGAAAGTTTTTCCAATCGCTGTTTATAACAACTCAGGCTATCAATTCTCCGCATATCATCACGTCAAACAACTTGAATTGCTGTAATAAAGTTTGCATTTACATGTAATATATATTTGTTCTTTTTGTTTTTTGGTGTGAGTGAGCTACATAATTACAAACAAACAAAACAATTCTATGCATAACTGATTCAACGATTTGAAAATATTTTAAAATATATTATGTACACTGGAACACATTAAAGCCGAACCACACCTCTACATTATTCCAAAACTATGGTGCCGGCTTCATCGGCATTGTCCAGAATGTTATCGATTAGGGCTACCACCTTCTGACGAAAACGTCTGTTTTGCTTGCCGGACATCTCCTTCAGATACGGCAGTAGACTATTGAGAAAGAATTGATCCGCATCTGGTGGCATGGCTGTTGTCATCTGGATTGAACGTTGATGATCATTTCGATACTTAAGCCATTCAGCGAGATCGGACAAATCCACTGAACCGCTTGAATTTCGACTATCCGCCGCCAGTTGTTGAAATGAATTGCTAACCGCAGTTGGGTTGCTTGGGTTGTTGGATGCCCTGCTAATCGATGTGAAGGAGTTGCCTTTAATGCCACTAGCACTACTCAAGTTATTGACTGGCGTTGTCATTGTAGTTGTCCCCGAACTATTTAGACATGACCTGTTTTCGTTCGCCGCGAAGCTGACTGACGTATTAAATGATGTTGTTGGACCTGCTGCAACCGATATTGATGTTTGCGTGTCGCCACTTCCCAGGACATCCTGTTCTTGTTTGATGTTTTGTAAATTCAAAGGCTTTGGCCATGTGGACTGTGCTATGCTGTTGCCAATGACGCCTCCTTCATGGCTCGAAACTACCACATCGGATTCAGCTATGGCCGCAACATCTGCTGAATTGGTGGAATCTTTGGTATTGTCACTGCTGACTGTGGGCATGTTGCTTACCCGAGTCATGGGCGGAATGTTACCGGATGCAGCTACCTTGCGTTGGGCTATGATGCTGGCGCTGTTCTTGATGCGGGTCTTCGTGTAAGGTATTAGAAACTGCAAGTACTTCGAGAGATAGTATTTGCGTTTGCCCCGTCCAGTGGTGGTGCGCGAAAGCTTTAATGAACGCAGGAAGCTGCTGCGTATTGTGCGCCATCTTTCACGGCAGTTCCGTACTGTAAAGAAGAAAAAAAAAGAAAAATATTTCATTATTGCTCATATCCGAAAATGGCTTCATCGAAACAACGGTTTTAGACCCTAGGTCTCTTTGGACCAAATCCGTTTCAGGACTTTTGGAGTCGATCTAGCGATGTCCGTCCGTCTGACTGTCTGGTTGGCTCTTTACTGCGCTCGATAACTCTCGAAGGCAGTATCCGATTTCATCCAAACATGGTACATCGTCATTTTATTGTCAAACTTAGATCAAGTTCGGAGATGGGCAACATCGGCCACTCCCCCACTAAATGACAAAATTTTCAAAGAAAATAATATGTACTGCACAGAAAGATAAAGCATAATCCAATTTGGTTCCAACTTGCGAAAATAGAAAATATCGTTCCACTCCATCAAATACCTCCCTCACAAAGGTCAAAATTTGGAATAATTATAACCCTTATAAAATGTGATGTAAGAGTCCGATTGTCTCAAATTACACACATCACAATACTTTTATTAATCCAAGGTCTGATGTGAAGATGGAATATATTGGTCCACTCTTTCTGGAAGCTCTCCCTCAAAGGTCAAAATTTTGAATATCCATGAAGCCCATAAAACACGAACTTTACATCTGATTCCCTTTAGACTTGGCACATCGCAAGATTTCCATCAACAAAAGATCTGCTATAAAAATGATCGGACCATTCCTTCTGATACCTCCCCCACAAAGAGTTAAAATTTTGAGTATACATGAAGCTCATAAAACCGCGAAATTTGCGACCCATTCCATTCAGACTTGATACATCTCAATATTTTCATCAACACAAGATCTGTTATAAAAATAGTATAAATTTAGGATTTCGCATAAAATTGGGTATAAGTGTTCTGTTTCCTTCAAATTTTGCATATACCAATATATTTATCTGTATTAATTGAAATATGAAAATGGAATACTTCAGTCCGCAATATATATTTCCACATTTTCCACATATCACATATAAAGTACAGAAAGTAGTGGATATAGTCCAAATCCAATACGTTGAAATATTTATATCAGTCTTAAGTCAGATACGAATTGGTCAATACTGGCCAACTGCTTCGGAACCTCCTTTATATAGAGTCAACAGTTTCAATAATCAGAAGTCAAGGTCGTTGTTTAAAAAGTAGATACATTTAAAATGCTATAATTTCGGTAATAAACGAAATTATTCGGCATGTTAGCTACCAAAAAAGTGGTTGCTATGTCCTACCCATGGAGACAATTTTCTGTCTCAGGCTGTAGTATCCATTACGAACTTCAATAGCAAATTTGAAACAATTCCGGTGAATAATGTCGCTAAAATCATCAAAATACCGAATATCGGGAGCTACCGTTATATGGGGGCTATACGAAAACGTGGATCTGCATAGACAATCTCCTGTCATAGGCTGTAGCATCCATTTCAAACATCATATACCAAATTTGAAACAATTCGGATGAATAGTGTCGCTAAAATCATCAAAATACCGAATATAGGAAGGTACCGTTATATTGGAGCTATACCAAATCGTAGACCTACATGGCCCATGGAATTTTACGCTGATCGAGTGGGGTCTAAAGTGTATATTTCGAGGTGTTACAAACGGAATGACAAACATAAAAGCATTAAGTTGGGACGGGCCGTTTGCATAATGCACTTAAATTTTCAAAAAACCATAAAGTGAGTGAGGCCGTTATATGGGGCCATACCAAAACGGGAACCTCTATAGGCAATTTTATACTTCAAGGATTGTCATTTATCTACTACTAAATTCGAAACAATTTCGTGATAGGATTATCAATATACCGAATGTCGGTGGGTATCGTTATATATGCGCTATAGGAAAACGTGGAACTAAATATTCAATATTCTGCCACCGGACTAGAACCCATTATGAACTGCAAATACCAATTTACATCCAAATATCGAATATCGGGAGGTACCGTTATATGGGGGCTATAGCGAAACGTGGTCCTATACATACAATGTTTCGCCATACGAGCTACAACCCATTTTAATCCCACTAATTTTTAGACAAATTCGTGGGAAAATGTGAAAAAAAAACCACAAAATACCGAATATCGGGAGGTACCGTTATATGGGGCTATACAACAACGCGAACCTATACATAAAATGTTTCGCCAGACGAGCTAGAACCCATTATGACCCACAAATATCAATTTTTAGACAAATAAGTGAAAAAAGTGGCAAAAATCATGAAAATACCGAATATCGGGAGGTACCGTTATATGGCGGCTATACCAAAACGTTGACCTATACATAAAATTTTTCGCCACACGAGCTAGAACCTACAAATACCAATTTTTAGACAAATCCGGGGAAAAATGTGGCAATGATCATTATAATAAAATACCGAATATCGGGAGATACCGTTATATGTGGGCTATACGAAAACGTATACCTGTAATGTTCCGCCTATGAAACTAAAACCCATTATGACCTTCATATACCAATTTTTAGACAGTTCCGTGGGTAAAATCTGGCGAAAATCGTCGAAATACCGAATAACAGGAGGTACTGTTATATGGCGGCAATACCACAACGTGGACCGATATATCTCATTTTCAATACCAACCATGGTAGAAGAATATAGGTAGTCGCGTCGACACAGCTGCTGGGACAATGAACTGTCAAATCAATTTTGGAATTGAAAATGTTGAATGACAAATTATTTAAATTTGTAAAAATTGTTGAAAAACGCGAATTATAATAGCCTCCGAATGACGTAGTATAAGAAAACATATAAAAATCTACTTATATTTGAAAAAAACATTTAAATTTTTTGACATATCAATGCTCCCAAGCGTTGTTGCATCTACCTGTATTCTTCTGCCATGATACCAACCATCCTAGACTCAATACAAATTGTTCTGCCAAAATATGATGGTCTACGTCAAATAATGTTTGTGATCCTCAATAACAATGATAAATGTAAGTAAAATATACCTCTGCTCTCGGCATCTCATGAACAAATGCTTCAATGGTGTCTTCGAATTCGTCAATAGATGCAGGCTCGGCTCGTCTGGACAAGAACTTCAACATAGCCACGAACTTGTAAGTCCAAATGCATTAAATCGCAATAGTCCAAATGCGCCAAGCTATTGCATTTTGGACAAAAAAAAACTTGGTTATCTTCCTACGGTAGTGCTCATCATTCGAAGTTACGTTACGATTCACCCACCAAAATCCAGAGTAAGTAGAATGCATTGATAGCTTTTGCAAAGCTTCTGACTGATCCCTACCCATTGAGCCAAAAATGAGCTTCGTCGCAAAATGGAAGAAGCACGCGAGGAACTTTTTTTTAACAAAGTGCACAATTTGGTAATAAAACTAAACGAATTGCAAGCGTTGTTCAAAGCTACACCCTTTGAAAGCTGAAGGATTTCGACAGAGAAAAAATCCCAAAACGTGCATGAGCTATTTCATGACTTTCTCATTTCCTGAACTGAAGTAGAATTTAGTGTTCTGTAGTCGTGTTCTTGTTCTATAATTAACAGTAAACGTTTTTCATATGGTGGACTTTGTAAATACGCTTCTTTACAAAGCCCGCAGAAAGTAAACATAAGGTATTGGATTCATACCGAAAACAAGTAGAATACAATTTATAGAAAGGGCTCCACAAAAAACACCCACTTTTAAGAGACATGAGAACAACATGCTGCATGTCATTGTGAATAATTTAGTCAAAAAGCCATCGTTTCAATTCCATTTACGATCGCCTTGAAAAAATTGGACATAAAAGTACGAACAACTCTGCCACCAGCAAGAATATAACCACATTATATTTGCCCAACCATTACATCCATTTCCTCAACTTTTTTTTCCAAAGTTTTTAAATAATTTTTACCTAACGTACGTTTGCAATTAATCTATTTGTTTGATATTACAAACTGACTTGTGTGAAAATGCATTCATGTACATGTGTGCGTATGTGTGATGATATCTGCACGTGTGTGTCAGTGTGTTGTACACAAACGAGCATTTACTAAAGCGCACAATTCATAGATTGTTTGCATTTTAGTCGCACAAATTACTAGCAGTAAACTTCTGAGTATTTTCAATTGTTAAAAGCTCTCTCTCTCTCTCTCTTGCTGCGAGTAAAAGCTTTTTACCAACGAGGAGAGTAACAACGACGATGCAAGCATCACACACTTTTATATTATCATGTGTGAACGCAAAGCTAAGGGAGTTTCCCCAATTGTTTCTTAACAAATTACTAACATGATAATAAGCATTTGAAAGAGAATTCCTGGAATTTCTTAACAAAGTAAAAAAAGAAAGAAAGTATTATTAGGTATTTTCCCGTGCTATATTCGAGAACGATATATACAGTGTCGGACAAAACATATTGGACTAAATTTAAATTTTCATTAAACTTCATAAACATATAAAATTATTCAAGTTTAAAACCAAATATGCATTGAAATTCAAAACATAACTTTTATTCTTTAAAAACAAATAGGATTTTTTCTACATTTTATAAAAAATTAAACTTTTGTTATGAAAAAGAACTAAAATATGTTAAAAATTCACGCGACAAAACATATTGAACCAAACAATGCAATCAATATTTTCTGGAAAATCCCTTGTTTTTGAGGACGGCTGCACATCTTCTGGGCATGGAAGCAATAAGGTTGTCTATCGTTGTTTTGTCTATAGCATTCCAAGCATCTGCCAAGGCTTCAAAAAGTTTTTTCTTATCTCCTCCCACACCTTCTCTATTTATCTTTTTATTTACTATTTCCCATAAATTTTCCATCGGATTTAGGTCCAGAGATTGTGCTGGCCACTTCATTACTTGAATATCAAAGCAATCTCTTACATGTCTTGAGGTGTGTTTCGGATCATTGTCCTGCTGAAATTGCCATACCAATGGCATATTCCATTCTGCATGGGGAAGCATAACACTTTGCAAGATTTCTTGGTACATGAATCTATCCATAATCTAATGTGTATGGGTCCTAGTCCATTTCCAGAAA